TCTTAAATTGAAGAACTTTCTTTACTGATCTGCTAAAGTTCTTAAATATCTGAAAATAACTGTTAAAAACTGTAAGCCTGTAATCTTATTTTACTGAACTTTGGTTTTCTAACAGAAAATCTTATTGTGACTACTGGTTTTTAAACCGGGTTTGTAAAAAAACAAATATCTGGGGTGAAGTGCAAAGTATAAATAATTGAAAAATCCAGCCAAATGGGCTAAGTTAAGCTCACGGAACGACCAGAGGGTTAAGGCTTGAGCTGCCTGACCGGAAGCTTCGCGCATTCTTGAGTCTTGCGACTGAAGTCATGAGCTTAGGTTTGAGTTCCTGAGCTCAACTCGCTTCTAAATTGAGCAGAGCAGCCATCTTGGCTTGACTCTCTCCCCGATTCCCTGTCTCTGTCTCTATTTTGCTTTTCGCTGCCTTCTCTCCTTTAGCTTGGCACCTTTTAATAAAGTTTAATAATTCAATGGGTGATGTTGCCTCCTTGTTGCATTTCATCAGCATATGCTGTTGCTCCTATATCTTTATCGTTGTTGTCTGGTCCGCTTTACGCGCTCATTAATATGCAAATGTGAGTCAGAGCGGTTTGTTTGTTGTGGTTGTTCCTGGAGTTTTGACTCTCATTTTACCTTTTATGCTGCCCATCATTATCATCATCGTTTTGATGTCCGATTCTCGAGCCTTTCCTGTTGTAAAATTCAGTATTTGAATGCAGGTCAACAGCGCATTAACCTGTGTGTGTGTGTAATTTGTTTACTTGCCGTCCGCTTTTTATCACAGTTTTCATATCAGTATGTGGCGTAAAGTGAGAGGTAGTCGACTTTCTGATACCCCTCCGAAACCCAAAAAACCAGACCAAATCGATTCGATTCGTTCACGTTCTTGGCGCATGATATATATACACTTGAAGTCAATTTATCAGCAAGCACAACAACGCAAAATAATAATACTTCAAATGAATATAACAGAATTGAACTCACTTGTAGCTATAACTTACCTCAGCATTTTTATTTCAAACTACAAATTTTAGGTTTTATATACTTATAATTTTTTGTTTAGAAAAAAGCTGTTGCTTTATAACTATATATGCATAATAAATTTAAAGCCGTTTCGTTCTTCGCTTCCCTCGATTTCTATTCTGTGTTATCGCCATATAGACTTGCATAATAATGCCTTTTTGCAATAGCAACCACGAGTCAATTTTTGCTTTCTTGCTAATTGTTTTGCACTTAGCACTTGCATTTATTTTCTTAGTTTTTTACTCATGTCGGTCATGACTTTTTTTACTTATGCAATTCACTCAAATGCGCATTTTTCTCTCTTCTCCGAAAGAGAGCAATAAACAATGACGTCACGCGCTGAGCTGAGTGATGTCGTCATAAAGTTCGCTCGAAAGAATCATATGATTTCCTATTTGCTTTAATGGCCAACACTTTAACACACGAAAACAGAAAAACACACGCTCGCCAGATAACAAAACGAATTCGCTTAAAAATAGCAGAGGTCGTTGGGTGGGCGGAAGGGGGTGGTGGGACTGTTAAACGGGCAGGGGGAGGCCGACAAAACAAAATAAATAAACTCAATACATATGCACAGCTTTTATTCTTGTAAAAAAAAACAAATAAAAATACTTTGGCACAGCAGCCGCGCGTGCTTGTTGACGTATTTACATACGTATTACGTACCCACTTTAAAACATACTGACGTACACAAAAAAAAATATATATAGTAACATATTTTGGTATGTGAAAATTATTAAGTTAAAATGGTTTCTACTTCTGAAAATATATCGTAGAGAATAAGATTTTTGATTCGGAAAACAAATGTCCACAAATGTTTTCAACTATCGCTTCAAAATTTGTAAATTTTGTATAGCTTTTTAAATTAAAATGCTTCAAAATATAATGTAGCCATCATATGATATTATTTTCTTTTAGTGCTCGTAACAGAGAGAAGAGAGAGAGCGCTTATCTCTCTTCTCCCCATTTTGCCAGCCAATTGTTGTGTGGGGAATTTTTTCTTTTATTGTTGACATTTTGATTAGTCCACCTCCTTAAAAAGGGCATGTGTGGAAGAGACGGATGGGAGAAAGACAGCTGTTTGGGCCTTGCAATTAAATGACAACAGCAGGAAATCAAACCAACATGCAAACACACAATGGCACATTGCACTTTGTTTGCACTGATGGTTACACTGCAACTATAAATCAAAATAAATTTCTTTACACAAGCGCAATTTTCGTAGAAATAAAGGAAAAGCAAAAAAATTATTTATGGCTGCGCCCACCATACAAAAACAGCTCTCATACATACTTATTTTCTTCGATTGTATGTATAAACCTATGTAAATGCAATGGCAATGTAAACATATGTCACCTTTTTAGCCCCCTTGCCCCAACACACTATTAAACTCACCATGGCAAATGTTGCGCTCTCACAAAAAAAATACTCCCCATGCTACGTTGTAAATGTAAAAGTTGCTGGGGCCATTTTTGTATTTTTTATTTTACATGCGCACATCTCTAAGACCTGTCTATGTACTGACTAAAAATACTGTTGTTGTTGGCTACAGTTGTGCAATGGATTAGTTGTTGAGGGGAACCCCCCGTAATTTTAGCTATTTATTAGTTTTGTAATTTATGTCAGCAAAACTTGCTTTCTCACCACTAAGGTCAAATTTTGTATAACAGAATGATGACGCTCTCTTGATTCCACGCACACAACCACGCACTGCTAGCTAGCTTCGTGTGTGCCCATTTTGATTCTCGCCCCAAGCTCCACTGTCGCATTGAAAATAACAGTAAATGTTATTGTGCTCAATTCTCCTGTCCTCTCTCGCCCTTTTCCTTTCCCTCTCTCATTCTCTTCTTTTTGGTTGACCATGTAACTGATGGTTCAATCTCCACCTCTCTTCTGTGGTTGTTGTTGTTGGTGGATGGTTTTTACCATTACGTTTTGGCTTTGTTATTACACTTGGCGAAATGTAGTAAATAAGTCGATAATTATGAAGAAGGAAGCAGTAAAGTTTAAGACATTGATATAAATAGTATCCTTAAATATTAATACAATCAAAGTGTAATTTTACAACAAAAAAAATATGTACAGAAATATTTAAGATACTTAATACCACATCTTAACTAATTTCAATTTTTTAATAAAAAAATATGTTTATCAAACGACTTTTTGAGACTTTTATAAGGGTTAGCAATTTGTTTATTTAAAAATCTCCCCAAATGTTGCCAAACAAGTTTTAATAATTTATTCGGTTTGAATTTCACAACAATGTAAAATGTTTAGTGTCCATTAAAGTGCATACTTTGGATTTCGAACTTTAAAACTCTTATCGCCCAGTGTATGTCTCGGATTTCGCCCATAACTCTCTCTCACTCCGTTTGTGATGGATGTGCAGCTCGGCACGTCGACTTTTCGACTTTGAGAAAGTAAACTGATCGCGATAAATCGATACTCGCCAGGTATTTTCTGATTAATCGATCGACATAAACAATTGGATCCTCGGGAATATATAGCAGCAGAGTTGGAACCGTTAGGTGTGACTGTTTTATATTCATTAAACATAAAACCAAACTCGTTTAGTTTACTACCTCTTACTACGGCTCGTTCTCAGTTTGGTGGAAAAACTGGTTTAGGCTTTTGGCCTTTATTATTCCCTCTCTTGCACATTTTATAGTATCTATATCTGTGTGGGATATGCTTGACAGCCTTGAAGAGAGTAAGCGGATAATAAAAAACAACATAGTTTTTACTTGTCATGTTGTTTTTGCTGCTGCTGCAACATTTTTTATGCATCCACACACCAGCACATTTTGTACATGTGATTGTGGGCTTTTTGTTTTTATTAATAATCGTGTTGCAATGCAATTCAGTGCAACATAGTTGTAGATAATCAATATCCAACTACATAATGCGTTTTAATTGCCCTCAAAAGATTAATAAATTACAAAAAAATAGATGGGTGATATCGAATATTAGCGATCAAAAAATATCACATCATCACGCTATTATTCCAATCTTTAATTGAGACTTTCAAATGATGATATTTCCATGCACCACTCTTAAGCTTTTAAAAGCGTCGTGCAGATTATGGATTTCTGAACCTTAAAAAATTGAAAATCAAACTAATATCTATGTACAATATAAGACAAAGTTACTAACTTCTTTGCCCTATCTTTCTTCTTTTTACAGCTCGTACTGCGAATTATTTGCGGCAGTCACGAATCAAAACACAAGCGCAGCCTAATAATTGGACGAACTGATCAAACAACAGTTAAAACAAGCCCCGCTTAAAAAACAACGGCGGATCAACAGTTGCGAGTCGCAAGTTGCTAGTTGCACGTTGCCAATTTGAAATTGCACGCTTCCACGACTGAGAGCAGGAAGGAAAAAAGGAGTCGCTGCCGCAGCAGGAAGCAGACGAAACTTCGCTGGGCGAAAGTAAAAGCAGCTAGGCAAATCAAACAAAGAAACCAAACCGCACACACCACACACACACACAAAGGCGCTCTAGCCAGCCATGGAACGTGAATCCAACCCAATGCAACCCATGTGCCGCTCCGGTTGCGGCTTCTATGGTAATCCAGCCACAGATGGTCTCTGCTCCGTATGCTATAAGGTAAAGTACTATCGATCTTCAAAAAGATTATCAACCCAGTCTTAATTTCTCTTGCCTTGCCCAACAGGACTCGCTTAGAAAAAAGCAACAGCCACCTGTGAGCAGCACACCTGTCTCCGTTCCAAGCCCACAACCTAGCCCCACATTCAGTCCGGCCATCGCAATCACCAACACCGCACAGCCCACAGTCACCAGTTTACAACAGCCACACAACGATGTCAAAGAGGTGAGCATGCATACTCAAGGAGATGAATGTAAAAGAACTGTTTCGGTTTTCACATTAAGGGAACTGAAAATGGAATCTACATTCGAAAAAAGCTACTATGCTATAATCTTTTTAATGTCAAAAAAGTAATAATTAGATTTTCTGTTCAAATGATGATATTTCCATGCACCACTCTTAAGCTCTATAAATGGCTTTGTGCAGATTATGGATTTCTGAACATTAAAAAAGCATTAGCTTATAAGTTATATATTTTGTACTTAACTGCTTTGATTAGCCCCAAATCAAAATAGGCTAGGCATTATCACTCCACTTTATTGAACATTTTCGTACAGTCAGTGACAAATTACTTTGCATTTCGGACATAAATTCAGTGTAATCTTGGTGAAATTGTTGAAACAATTAGTTGTATGTGCAAAAAATTAGAGGAATTGAAGAAGTTTTTCTGCATTTTCGAACTAGTTTAGTGATCTCAGTGTGTTTATTTGTGAAGGTCGGTGTTGATTTGTGTAGTGTGTTTACCCTGATGTGTCTGCCATCGGCAACGCTGTTGCATCTGTAAATAAGGTAAAGTGTCCAGGTCCCTGTCTTCCAGAGACCATCCCAAGAAGAGCTGCTCCTTCGGTTCTACCAACAACCTGAGCGGCACTGAACTGAGAAAGTGTGGAAAAAGGGTTCTAGAGATTATTATAAGGTGTGACAGGCTCAAGTTTACTAAAATTGTATGAGCCCATTCAATGGCAATATATAAAAAGGCCCATTTCAAATGTGTAGGCCATCAAAGTTAAGATAAAAGTATAGTCGAAAGATTTAAAGAGTTAATTAAATATTTAAGATTCACCTCTTAGCCACCTCTGGAACCCTGTATCCCACTGAACACTCGTTTCAGTTTAGTGTCACTCATCTGTCAATTTCATTCGGCTACAGTTTGGCAATCCATTCGGCTCGGATACAAAATTTTCTGTGATTTCGGCTCATTTTTCGAAATTTAACTCTTTACAAATTCGCCGAGATGGCTTCCTTTGGTGCCTCGTCGTCGTCGCATAAGAAAACGAATCGCGTTGCTATTAAAAGCACTACTCCTGTGTCGAATGCGATATCCCTGCCAGCTAGCCGTATTAAGCGGAAAAGCGTCGTCAAGCGGGCCACAGCTGGGGCATTAACAAGTCAAAGTCTTGGACTGGTCACTGGGATGGACAGGGACGATCGGTTCCTCCAGCACCAGATTGCGGCAGCAAAGGGTACTGAATCTGAATGCTCTTACTGGGTCTACCGGCGTCGCCCAGGCGCACTAACCTCGTTTCCCACCTACACCTCTCTTCTCCACTTTGATGCAATGCTGCAGAACAATCAGCTACCCGAAAAAAAGCAGCTCCTCCGCTTCCGCCGCCACGCTCACTCCGCAGGGCGGGAGCAGCAACAACAGGAACAGGAGCAGGAGCCGCTCCTTCAGCCGCCGCTTACCTTGCTGCCCAGGTGCCTTGTGGTGGCAAAGTCTTGCACTCCGGCAGCAGCACCCCACCACTGCCATCGTCCGCCATCAAGAGCTCGTTGGCCAACCGCAGGGTAGCCGGTGGCAAGATCCCGGATCAGGTGAAGCGTCGCGTCAAGTTCTCGGCCAATGTCCATACATTCACGACGGTCACCAACGCCAAGAAGTCCACCCGGATTGGCGAGCTGCAGCTGAAGAAGAAGGTCAAGAAGCTGAAGCGAAATCGACCGCGTCGGGAGGGCGGAAGTGGTGGTGTTACCGGCGTATCGGAGAGCGGATCCATCAATCAAAACATCGACAAACACGGCACCATTGTTGATGTGGAATCCCTGAAGGCACCATCACCGCCACGCGTTCTTCGCCTGAACGTTGTGGGCAAATCCTCGCCAGCAACAGGCAAATCTGCTCTAGCCGAAGCGCTTCGAAGGAAGGCTCAGAGATCTTTGCTGAGCAATTCAGCAGTTGCTCAGGAAAAGACCAGGGAATTGAAAACAACAGGAAGTAGCGGGAGCAAAAAGGTCAAAAGAAAGGCAACGAGTGGCAGTACGAAGACGCTGCTGGGATCTAGCTCTAATTTGGTGGAAAACAGTGCGGAATTGGCAGGGCGTAAGAAATCAGGGGCGGCCAAAACGACAGGGATTCAGCGGAGTAGTATAACAAAGCCTCTCAATGGGCGGCGAGTCAATGGAAAAGTCGTCTGAAGGAGGCGATCAGCCAGAGAATCCCGGCGAGAAGGAACAGCGGCAGACGACGCCGCAGCCGGAGAAGCGTCGTCGGAGTGCGTCACCCCATGGAAAAGGAGCCGCAGTAGGCGGGGCAAAGTCGTCGGTGGAGGAGAGTGCATCAGAAGGAGGCGCATCTGCGGTCGGGGCAGTGGCCAAAAAGCGGGTAAACATTCACCACACATCGCCCTCGGCAAATAGATTCCCACTCAGCCGATGATTCGCTAGGAATTTTTGGCAACAGTTGAGAGGGTGCTCTGCAATCGCCAAAAAGAACACCACTCAACACCACACGGCGGACACATTTTCCGATGAAACAGTCGAAATTGTTTGGTCTAATAAAAAAGGAAATAATATACTAACGAAAAAGATCTTCAAGGTTTTTTGAATGCAGTTCGATGAGGATGTATTGTTGCGGTTTATAAAATAGATAGCTATAAGAATGCTTATATTTTGGGTTTAAGTGGAAAAGTGCATTGTTTTTTAAAGAGGAATTTTTAAAATTGGGAATTAATACGTTTTTTTTTCTTTTTGCGAATAAATAGCAAATTAACATTAGTTTACAAAATGTTTTTGAATAGGAAAATCTAGCTTATGCTGTCAAATATTTTTGTCATGTGTTATTGAGATTCATATTTGTTTTTCTTAACGTTTTTGCAGAAAATCACCGAAGAAGCCGCTGCTGCTGCCAAAGCTAACAGCGAAGCCATCACATCGGCGACTGGTCCTAACACTTCCACACAAGCAGCCGCCTCCGCCAACGAGGAGGATGACAAGGACAAGGAAGACGACAAGGATGCCAAAAAGAAGAAGAACCGATGTGGCGAGTGCCGCAAGAAGGTTGGACTGACCGGTATGTGTTTGCTCTTGAAATCCGTTTCCTTTAAATATATCTAATATATTTATTTTTCTTGCAGGTTTCCAGTGTCGCTGCGGCGGTCTGTACTGCGCCGTGCATCGTTATTCTGATAAACATAACTGCACATTCGATTATAGAGAGCACGGCGCACAGGAAATCCGACGCAACAATCCGGTTGTCGTTGGCGAGAAGATTCAAAAGATTTGAATTTCGATATTGTGCCAGTAACAGTAACAGTAGCCGTAGAATGATAATAACCAACCTAAACATAATAAGAGTACATATAATATATATGCTGCGCTATAACAACAAAATCAACAACCAACAGAAAACAGCGTAAACACCATATACACAACACACAAAAACACAGAGAGTAATACTATAAAATCGATATAAACCGTAATTGTAATGTAATTATAATGTAAACAGCAAAATGCAACCAGCAACAATAGTACAGAGAAACGATAACCAAATACCCCGCAAAAAGAATGCAGCAACAACTGGAACAACAATTTCGATGCTCAACAACAACGTTAAGCTAGCGACGTCCAGCAGCAACTTTCAGCGGCAACATGCAACATGCGGCATGCAGCTGCAACATGCAACAGCAAGCAGTGTTCAGCAGTAAATACCTTTGTACATCTTGAACCAGACGCGTGACAGCGTTAGCAAGTGCAACAACAATCACAGCCGCGATTGTGGAAACGAAACAACAACCGCAGCAGAAACTTCAACAACAACCAGCACTACAACCGATTGCCTTGGACGCCTGCTGAGCTGGGCCGAAAAAAAAACTGTTTTGAAGAAAACACCATTCATCGACTAACGTTGAAATAGTTTGTTATTCCAAATACAATTTGCAAATTGTTTGTATTTAGCTAAAACCACACCAACCAACAAACATGGCCACATTTACAACGACAACAAGCACACAACAAAGAACAAACCCTTGTTTTATGTTACATAAGCAACAACCTTTTAGTAAGACGATGTGTGTCATTTGTTTTTGTAATATGTTGGAGTGTATTAAATAAAAAAAAAATAATTAAATTCAAAATGCTAAATATGAAAGGAAAACTTATGAGAAATTTAAAAAAAACTCAAAATTCACCAACCAAGCAACCAACTCTTTCTCAATTCTTAATTATCAGCTACTAAATGAAAAGATAAAAACAAAAAACAAATTTATATTAATTAATTATGTATATGTATTAAAAGAAAAAAGCTAAGAAAATTATGCAAAAATTAAGCGTAAAAAAACAAAGCCCTCACCACAAAAAAAAATGTAAAAAAAAAATCCTGAAGAAAAGAAACCAAGAATAACGCAATTGTGTAGAGCTCCTAAAAAAACAGTTTGCTTAAAATCCACGACCACGCTACCCACGAGCGAGAGAGAGAATAGCTAGAGAGAGAGAGCGAGGGAGAAAAGGAGCAACTTGGAGCATAACAACTCCCTATACATAGAAGTTTAAATATAATTATAATTAATTAGTGAATCAAAGCAGGCGAATGCAGTGCAAGCGGCGTTTTTCTTCGTTTTACTTTTTGCCCCTCCTCCTGTCCCTCTAACATTAAATTGAATTGATTTTAATTTTTTGATTTTTCGATGAATTATATATATAAATATGCATAATATTAACTATATCTACATCTATATATGGTAGGATATGTAAATCGTGTGACGCATACACATATATAGTTTATTTGGGTATATGCACATTAAAGCGAAAAAACAAAAAGTAAAATCAGCAAAAACACATATTCTATCTATATATATATATAGTGGTTACAAAGAAAATTCAGCAAAAATGGTAAACAAAAAATGCAAAAAACACAATAAATATATATGGTTCGTCTTTAGATTTTTATTGCTTTAAGCGTTATTTAGTTTTTCTTTGTTTATATTAAAACACACACATGCGTACACAACAAAACAAAAACCCCTTTTTAATTTTTGCTTTCTTCATTCTATAGTACATAATTTAAAGTTTTATTCAAATCAATTACATCTATGCAAATAAATTTAAATCTAGAAATAAATTGTGTTGTTAACCCCTACGAAAAAAAATACAAAAATGAAAAAAAATCAAAACGAAAATTTTAAGTAAAACTAAACATAATATAAATAACAAAGAGGAAATACTGCAATAAATTTTGATTCTACAATTAAAATTCCCACACGACGACCAAAACAAAAATAATAAGCACATTTGGCATACAGAACTGAAAGAAATCGTTTTCGCAGCAGGAGCAAAATAAAAGCAGACGCCAAACTCGCCTTTAACCAACCGCCCTTCCAAATTTTTAAAAGAGTGATTGCAGTGGGTGTACTTTCTCCGATCACTTTCTCTAGATCGATTCTACCTAGAGGTGCCCCCTGATCAAAAATGGCACTTCTAGTTAAATGTTGATCGGTGGTTCAATGCGGGAGATTCTGGACAGGTTTAGATCAATCCAACGCAGCAATAGTCAAGTCCAATCCCATTAGGAGTGTTTAGTCAGAACTACACTTGAACTGTACAAAATCAGAGATGGAAAATGCAAAACTAGTAACAAACTTCAATATAATTTTAAATGAAAGGCAAGATAAACCCATTGTACAGGCCAGAAATATTAGGAGAAATTAGGGATGTGAAAACAATACTGCAATTATACACAACAAGAACAGCAAATTGTCATTTTAATTTTAATTTCCCCCACAATAATAAAGGCAACACTTTACATATACGTATATCATAATTTAATTCATTAAAAACTTTAAAATTAATTAGTAAAATTGTATGCATACACAAACACACAAAAAGAAGAATTTTAAGATATGACGAACAAGTTTACCACAGTTTAAAAACGTTTTAGAGCTGTTTTCCTAACTTTAAACGAAAAGAAGTTAAAAATCAAAAAAAAAAAAATACAGTTTGAATTGATATAAATAAAACCCATTTCTATATTTTTTGCATAGTTGTAGTTTTCGTTTACAATAATTTACAATGCTTTAGTGTGCTTTTAGTTGCAATTGTGTTTATATGTTTAACGAAAGAGCGAAAGAGTAAAGTGAAAAGGCAAATAATAATTATATCTAAGCGTAATAAACTTTTATTATTATTAACCAACGTTTATTCTAGTAGTTCTTTATTATATTACCATAATAATTATTATTTTGTTGTGTGCACCTCTTAGTCACTTTTGCGCTTATAAGCTAATCAAACAACACACAATCACTTCAATACCAATAACGATCCCCGAAATTCCTCTATCCGCCAAACTCTATATTTGTGTTGAATCTTTTTGCAATTGCTAGCCGAATTTGATGATTGTTTGACTCTTACTTTGGATATGTGAAGTGTTTTGTTAACGACAGGAGCAGAGACGGAACGAAATTAGTTGACTTAAGCGTGTATGAATGGGATTTAATGAACTTGAATATATGAATGCAACCAAATCCAATATCTAAAACTTAATGCGTATATAAATATTGTACTAATGTGTAATTGTAATTAAAAGCGTCGGATGAAGAATATCTGCAGCCAGATCAGATGGGTCGAGAAACAGTGAACATATAAGTAACACAGAAACGGTAAAGCTAGAAAATCTAAATAGAAATAGATATATACATATACCTATACATGAGCCTCAGATCCGGGCGTATATAAGAGCAACAACTATTTTAATTAACCTTAAACAAATGCATAAACAAATACAATAAAATAGAAGATACAGCAACAAGAGCAACCACAACAAATTTGAGATGAGATAATCCAAAAAAAAAACAATATAACTTCAAAATTTATATAGCTAACTGGATAATGTTCAATAAAAGGCGATTATATAATTTTTAAAAAACAATTGCATGTTTTATTTTTTGAAATTTGTTTGGATATATATTTCGAGAGATATTCTTTTCAACTTTTCGAAATCCATTGGGGAACCCAAGCCAAGCCAAGGTGCTAAGTAGTTTAGAAACGATGAAGAGGGAAAAACAACGCATAAATAAAATATTTGAATATTTATTTATAATGGCCAATTGAGAATGATCGTGTGGCTCTGGGACTTGTTTCAAAATGGTTCGTTCGCTCTTCATGCAATAGATATTAACCTAACTAAAGTCACAGCAAGTGTTCAAAAGTAAAACTCAGTAACTACCTAAACTCAGCAAATAAATAATATAATACATTTTTGTGTGCTTATTTCGTTATAATAATTTTTAAACAAAAAATAACACCGTTAATCAATTCATATAAAAAACAAGAAAAAGGTTTTGATCAGTCGATATATAAAGCTGCTAAAGTCTCAAACAAAAAATACATAGGAAACCCAAACAGACAAAGAGATGAAAAGCAACAAACATTTACAATATTTAAAAGATTCTTCGCGAATGGTATAATAATGAATGCTTAGATCTAAGGCAAATCGAAAGGAAAAAATATATATATATACGAGATATAACAGTTAAATGAATGATGCAGCAATGTCGTATAAATAACAGAAACATATATCTTAAGTATGATGAGTATATATATAGACTATATGTACACAAACATATGTATATCTGATAAATGAGAAATCGCTAAAACTGATAAAATTAAACCTAAGTAAAATTAAAAAGAGAAATACAAAACACGGAAAGAAATGGAACTAATAAAGAGAATTATTCTGAGAAATATATAGAAACATTTTTTATTATTATACAAGGGGTTAGATAGGGATAGATACAACTGTCTAAAATCACTTAAAATATCCGTTTAGTGACTATGGTGTTGTTATTACTTAGTATTTCTTGCACTGATCACCTGCTTTTATTTAGCATTAACAAATGTACTTTAATTCTTTGTCATGGGAGCTAATGAAAGTGGTCAACAAAATCTTCTTAGTGCAATCTCTGATTGTGCGCAATAAAAAAATATATTTTCTTGATAAGACTGGGTTGTGGCGATAAAGCAAAGCAACTGTAAACGAATATCTGTGCTTGGGGAACTTCAGCTCCACAAGATCAGTTCTCCACTGGCATTCACAGCGTTCGGTCGTCACCAAGTCTAAAAATACCCACAAAAAAAAGAAACAAAAAATTAACTCAAAGTGTGACCTACATTGTAAGCTGTGAATATGTCAACCGTACAAACTGGTAATTTGCCTAAGAAATCAGTGTGAGATAAGAACTATTCTTGGGCTTATCTCAACCCATCAAGCAATGAAATTTTCCACGCACATAGAAGAAAAAAATTAGCATGATATATTTATATTAAAAGTATTTGAATTTTATTATTTTTATTAGTTTTAAAATGGGTCTTATTGGTTTTATGTGCATTCTGTTTTTGGTTTTCGTTTTTTTAGATCTTTTGTTATTTAAAATATAGAATAAAAGAAATTCGAAGACATTAAAATTATTTAGAATTTTACATTACATTTTCTAAAATTTCGAGAAAAAGACCGCAATGGATATAATAAGAAATGATATAGAATTTCATCAATTCTCATACATTTTTTTTGCTGTACAGTTCTGGGCACCATCACACCCAACCTGTTGGGGCGAACTTTGACCCACGAGCATGTGGCTCTCGATTTCGAGCATTTTTACCGACCACCGCCGCCGGATTTCGAGAGTGAGCTGAAGGCCAAGATCAGCATGTCCACCCTGGGATATGTCCGCCTGTATCCGTATTCCAGCAAGGAGAATGTCCGCTTCTACGATGGAGAAGCTCTGGAGGCGGCCAAAAAGGATGTACTCCTCTACAAAAAACACGGCGGTGGCAGTATTGTCGAAAACAGTAGCTATGGCCTGAAGCGCAACTTGGAGTTTATTGTGGAGCTGGCCAAGAGCACCGGTGTTCACTTCATTGCCGGCACAGGCCACTACATCCATGCCATGCAGGATGCCAGTCATGCCAGCTTAACCGTGGAGCAGATGAGTGATCTCTACTCCAAGGACATCATCACTGGTCTACAGGTCAATGGACAGGCGGTCAAGTGCGGATTCATAGGCGAGGTGGCCAGTGTCTATCCCATTCATGGTAAGTCAGTAAATAATCTTAGCATTGAGAGGGAGAAAATATGGGAAAACTTAATTTATACATTTACTTTATTATTCGTCAATTTAATTATAGATATATTTTGGATACATTGTATTAAATATGCATTTTACATAGGTAACCTTTGTAAATCAATGCTCTAATACTTGTCCTATTTTTATTAATTGAAAAATCTGTTTTCTTTTTGGTAATTTTTTTATTTGTTTATGAGTTTACTATCCTAGTGCGACAAAGTTGAGCTTATTGCACTATAAATTGTTCTAAGATTTTTATTTTTATTTTGTGGCTTGTTACTAGAACTTTCCTGTTTACTTTTTAAAATGTTTTGTTTTATTACAGATTTTGAGAAAAAATCAATTAAGGCAGCAGGTGAGATCCAGGAAGTCCTGGGCTGTGGTGTTTCCATGCATCCGCATCGTGTGACCAAAGCTCCGTTTGAGATAATGCGCCTTTATTTGGAGGCGGGTGGGCGTGCCGACAAGTGCGTGATGTCCCATTTGGATCGTGAGTAATATAGTTTTTTTTGGATATCTAATTTATATATAATATATTAGGCACTATTTTCGACATTGATGAGCTGCTGGAGTTCGCCAAACTAGGCTGCTATATACAATACGATCTCTTTGGAACCGAGTGCTCCTTCTATCAGCTAAACACCAGTGTGGACATGATCTCCGATGGCCAACGTATCGACAACTTGATAAAGCTCATTAAAGAGGGTTTGGTGGACAAGCTGCTCATGTCCCACGACATCCATACAAAACATCGATTGGTGGGCTTAAATAACCAATATTTTTATATATATTTTATACCCAAAAGTACCTATTTTTAGACTTCCTATGGCGGTCATGGCTATCACCACATCCACACCAACATCCTGCCGCGAATGTTCGATCGCGGAGTTACTTTGGAGCAAGTGGAGCAAATGACGGTCACCAATCCGGCCAACTGGTTGGCCTTTGACCCCTAGAGGCGTGTTGTTGTTTTGCCTAGCATCATCTTATTCCCCTGCTGATAAGATTAAGTTTGTTATTTTGGCAGTAATAAATGGGCGTGTCTTCGAATTGAAGCTTATCAATTTGAGATTATTACTAAAAACAAGAAAGGAGGGGCTCGTGCGAGATGCAATTAGAAAGTAATCACACAAATATTAGGCCAGCATGAAAGTTGACCATACATGTATGTTTCAAAATAAATTTTATAAAGAATTGTTAAGGAATTGATCTACATTTATGTTTTACTGGTATTGGCTTTTGTTACCAAATTTCAAAACTATATAAAACAGAAATAAAAATTTCAAACACCGATTATTAGAGATTTAAAACAAAATCTCAAATACCGATTATTTCATATTCTATTAAATAAACATCTCAAATATCACTTAGTTTACTTTTTTTTAAATACAAATTTAAAATAAAACAATTTTTTGAAAGATGTAATCGTTGGGTTCCCTTGTTTTTTCTTTTGTTATAATTTCGTTATATATGTACAGGTATTTAATTCTTTAATATTGCCAAGTTTTCAAAAATTTCAGCTGTGGATTTTAGATAATGCCTTATCGTTTTTGACCCGCAACCGATTTGCAAACCCTTCTTCTTATGGCATGTTTTCCCATCCAGGAGTTCAAATGAACATTTCCAATGATGTTGCCAAAAAATAAAGGGAAAAACAAGTACAAACGTAGGGTCTTATCGTTGTTATTATGTCGTTTCCAGAGCAGTTCTTATCAGTTCGTCGTCAGGCCAGGCCAGGCCCCATAAAGTGACCAGCCGGCAATTGAAACGTATTGCAAAGGTGCCGTATTTACGACCCAATATACAGAGTCTCCTCATCCATTCGCATTCGCCTATATATACCAGTTCCGATCGTTCGAGCATTCAGCAGTATTCAGCGAGTAGTTATCGAAGGCGGTCGTAGTCCTAGAGGGATTTTTGAGCTATTTTTGCAATGTCGCAGGCAGTAAAGACGGAAACGCCCAAGGAAGCAAATGGTGTGGCTACAAAAGCCACAAATGGAAAGTTGGAGGTGCCAATGAGACCCAGGCATGTCTCGGGAGGAGTTGAGGAGATCATCGACCCCTTCTGCAATCCTGAGCAACCGCAACGCATTTCCTTCCACGATGTCACATCGGCTGCTTTTCTCATCCGTGGCGGAGTCGAACGCACTCCCTGTCCGGTAGATATTTCTATATTTCCCGTTTCCCTTTTGTGTTCTCATGGAAAGTGTACCACAGAAAGCCACATCATCCGATCTATATGGCATGGAGCTGTATCTGAAAAAGGATTTTCTGCAGTACACAGGCAGGTGAGTTGAAAAAGTCAAACAGAGCCAAGACCATGTCTTAAGAATAACAAGAAAGAAAGCAAACTTCGGCAAGCCGAAGTTCATATACCCTTGCAGCTATTGCATGAATTAAATACTTTTGAAAACATTTAAATTATGATTTACTTCAGTATATACTGAAAAACAGTGAAGCTATGATGATTTGCAGCTCAATTATTAGATAGTTATTTTATATATTTTTATTAGTTCTATGGGAGCTATATGATATAGACGTCCGATTTTGATAAAATTTAAACCATAATTCTGAAATAATTAAACATTGCCATATGTCGAAGAACTAAACAAAAAATTAAAAAACAGAAAAGTTATAATTTTTTTTCATTTATTTCTCCGATTGTTCCTATGGGAGCTATATGATATAGTCGTCCGACTTTGATGAAATTTAAACCGTAAATCGAAAATATTTAACCATTACTAAATGTCGAAGAACTAAACAAAACATTAAAAAACAGAAAAGTTATAATTTTTTTTCATTTATTTTTCCGATTGTTCCTATGGGAGCTATATGCTATAGTCGTCCGATTTTGATGAAATTTAAACCGTAAATCGGAAATATTTAACCATTACTAAATGTCGAAGAACTAAACAAAAAATTAAAAAACAGCAAAGTTATAATTTTTTTTCCTTTATTTTTCCGATTGTTCCTATGGGAGCTATATGCTATAGTCGTCCGATCCGGCTCGTTCCGACTTATATACTACCTGCAATAGAAAGACAACTTTTGGGAAAGTTTCATGCAGATAGCTTTAAAACTGAGAGACTAGTTTGCATATAAACGGACGGACAGACGGACAGACGGACAGACGGACAGACGGACAGACGGACAGACGGACAGACGGACATGGCTAGATCGACTCGCCTAGTGATGCTGATCAAGAATATATATACTTTATAGGGTCGGAGATGTCTCCTTCAATGCGTTGCAAACTTCTGACTGAAATTATAATACCCTCTGCAAGGGTATAAAAATCATATAAAGATAGTGAAGAATAGAACACCTTCTTCTTCAATTTATTTAAACTTTTAGTACTAGTGAAAAGTTATTTGCCAATTAAGAGATTGCAATTGCGTTCTAATTTTAGTTTTCTTAATTGGTTAAGTTTGATGTTCATAAAATGTTTAATAGCATCCGCTATAGTAAAGATACGTATTTTATTTTTAGATCAGTTTCTTTGTAGTATTCAATTTGTGGCCCTATAAAACAGAAATATATTTCCGTTTAATGCTTTGAGTAATAAGCTACTCTAATAAATTTTTAAGATGTTTTTTTAATCAATATTTTTTAATAATAATAAGTAATACTTCTCCTTCCCTTGCCTACTCCTTAGAAAGCGAATATAGGTCCAAGGTTCATTATCACTTTGGCATTATTGTTTATAATAATCTGTTTTTTTTAGCATTTAGTAATCATTACGTATACTATGAATATTGTCTGGGAGTGCAATTTTCCGTCTTATGATAAGAATCTGTCTATACTCATGTTATACAGTCAATCTTTGTTAAACCAAAAAGTCGTTTCTGAATAAGTAATAATTAACATGATTAGTTTTACATGAATTTCTATTACATTGAACTATAAATATAAATCTAGTTAGGGAAGTTCACCTGTAACTGTTTTTGATTGTTGACACTTAAACCGCTGATAGTCATCTAATATTGCGAACGAATTTCGGTTATTTGGCTACACATAAACGGCAAAGATCCGATAAGATAGCGATAAGTGGTAGTTGATAAGCTTCGATTGGGTTAAATTAATAGCTGTTGCTAATTGATTTTTGATTTCGTCGTGATCAACATGTGACTGATATACGCAATTGAAATTTTGACAGCTTCAAGGAGCGTGGCGCACGCTATGCGTTGTTATCATTAACTGAGGAGCAAAAGCGAACGGGAGTGATCAGTGCCTCCTTGGGCAATCATGCCCAGGCATTGTGCTATCATGGCTGGAAACTAGGCATTCCAGTCACCGTGGTGATGCCCAAGGCGGCGCCCATCATGAAGATCCAGAAGTGCCGCAACTACAAGGCCCGCGTCATCGTGGATGGCAACGACATGGGCGAGGCCAAGTCCCTGGCCATGCGGATGTCCCGCGAAGAGGGACTACTGTACGTAAATGGCTACGATCATCCGCACATCATGGCCGGCCAGGGAACCATTGGCCTGGAGATACTCGAGCAGGTGTCAGAACCGGATGCAGTGGTGGTTCCGGTGGGCGGAGGTGGATTGATTGCGGGAATTGCCACGGCTGTGAAGGCACTTTCCTCCAAAACTAAGATTATTGTGAGTATACCTTTAAAAATATTGTTCAAAAGGAAATACAAGTACTTAAAAATTGATTATAATTAATAGAAATAAATTTTGTTTTGATTTTTATCCACACTTGTGAGAAAAAGTAGTAAACTCAAATATTTTGTTCTCAAGTTTTTGTTTTGATTTTCATCCAATGCGTTTTTTAGTTATTTATTCAATTCAATTATAAAACACACTTTTCCATTTTACTTTTACTAACTTTTTGGAATAATTTTCCAACAGGGTGTGGAATCGGAGAAATGCGCCAGCTTCACCCGGGCCATGGAAAACAACGGACCCATTCACACGCCCATCAAGAACACACTGGCCGATGGTCTGGCAGTGCCCAAAGTTGGCTATAATGCCTACGCCACGGCCATGCCCCTGATCGATCGCATGGTGGTGGTCAAGGAGGAGTGGATCGCAGTGGCCATCCTCCGGCTGGTGGAGGAGGAGAAGTGCGTCGTCGAGGGAGCGGGTGGAGCAGGCTTAGCGGCCATTTTGGCCGGCCATCTCGATGAGCTCAAGGGAAAGAAGTGAGTACTTTGTTTCAGACCCACAAAGGTGTTATTGCAGGATAATTCATTAATACAGTTGAAATATGGGAAATTAAATTTGGAATTCAACAGGCAGATATTTATTTTACTATTTTTTTTTTATCAGATTAGCTGACTTCTTGATATAGTAATACAATTTCTTATTCTTTTAAAGGGTTGTGGTTCTTCTCTGTGGAGGCAATATAGACACCACCGTTTTTGGACGTTGCCTGGAACGAGGTTTGGCCGCCGTGGGTCGTCTGGTCAAGTTTAATGTGGAGGTCAGCGATCGTCCCGGTGGAATCAACGATCTGTGCGCCCTGCTAGTTCGCGTGGGAGTCTCGATCAAGGATATTATGCACGAGAGGGCCTGGCTGAGGGATATCTATACCGTCGAAGTCAAGGTCGTTTGCGAAACAGTGGACTGGAGCCACAGTCTGGAGCTGAAGAACGAGCTCAAGAAGTTCTATTCCAAAGTTCAGTTCTCCGATGTCCCTCTAGCCCTCACAAATGATTCCGATTCGTAGAGCCAGCTTGTATATAGTACACATATGATTTATTCACTTCAGCAGCGCAGCAAAACTTAAAGCTTTAACTTAGAGCTTATTTGTATATAAGTGTAAACATAATCGTAGTCGAAGTAGAAATGTAAACTAGGTGTAAATAAATATACATAAAATACAAAGTCTAGAAACAAATTGACCAACGTAGGGTTTGCATAATTTACTAATTATGATTTTCTGTAGAGAACTAAGGACTAAAACACAAACAACTAAGAATATAAATTCATGAGCTTAGGCTACGAAGCAGACACACAGTATCAATTTCTTTTTGTATTTCTTTAATTCTTTAATTGTTTTAAGATCTTCTTGCGGTTTTTGGCACATTAAGGATTCATTACACACGCTCAGTCGAACAAACACACAGTACAGTATATATCGAAATTTACATTTACACGGCTAGAAAATATATATGTCTCTATATAAATATCGCTTATGTGCTAGAACGTATAGTATTTGCTATCTCATAAATACAGGCATTTCGTTGTTAAGACTTTAAAAGCGCTGACTAAATCTACGTTGAGTATGCTAAGTGTTCCAAGCGGACGGAGCCGCTTTCAGTGGCTGTTGTCCAGGCGCAGGATGAGGGCGTCAACCACATTGTAGATCTCATCGAAATGCGGCCGGGACTCGGCATCGGCGGCCCAGCACTTGAGCATCAGTCGATACATTTCGGCAGGCGTGTTCTCTGGCGTTGGCATGCGATATCCTGGAAATATATCATCATAAATTAATGTCCTTATCAGAATAAGTTGTGTTAAGGTGTTCCTCCAGTTGCAGAGCACAAATATGGTCTATAACCTATTGTCCAATTTATGTTAAATATTTATTATTATATATTATATGCATATCTCTGATTTTTTTTCGGCAACCAAATTTCTAGTGATTTGTTTCATACAATATACGCTTTAAACTAGTAATTCATCAAACATTTAGAAAATATTTCAATTTTTGACAAAATGTTAAAGTTATGAGCGGGGATAGTAAACTCATAACTTATTAAATAACAATATTTACCTGTATCGATCCGCTCTCTGGCCCTTGAATTGCTCATGCCCGAGTAGGGTGTGTCGCCCTTGGAGAAGATCTCCCACATCAGAATGCCATAGGACCACACATCGCACAGTGAGGTATACTTTCCGAAATTGAGGGCCTCGGGAGCTGTCCACTTCACAGGTATTTGCTTCATGCCATCGGAAACTATTATAAAAAAATGTAAGTTCAATTTAAATATAATTTTATTTTTCTTGGGACTAAATGGGATTTACCTATATACTCTTCTTCCTCGCGTGACATTCCAAAATCGGAAATCTTTACACTGTGCTCCAGGTCAACGAGACAATTACGAGCCGCCAGATCGCGATGAATGCAGTTCTTCGATTCCAGATATCGCATACCTAAGTAAAATAAGTATTCTTTAATATGTAAATATGGTTTCGATGGTTTTAAGACCACCTACCTGCCGCCGCATCCCGGCACATTCCCATTTGTTGTCGATTGGAAAGACCATTAGAGTTCTTTCGCAAATACGTGAGCAGGGAGCCACCTACAAATGTAATAAAACATATAATTATATATTACAAACACCTATTTCCGGAACTTACCCAGCACCAATTCCATGACAATCATTATGGGCTGCTTCTGCACACAAATGCCAATTAGTTTGACGATATTGGGATGATCGTATTGCTTAAGGATGCGACCTTCCTGCAGGAATTTACGCTTCTGTTCGTCGGGCAGGGTCATGCGGCAGGTCTTCACGGCCACATCCAGTTTGGTGGACTTCAGTTTGGCCTTGTAAACGTCTCCAAAGTTGCCCTAAACATTGAGGTATTATTTTTACTATTTATAAGAATCGCACAACGATAACATATAGCAACCATAGGAACATCGAAAAGTCCACTATCTTCTGTGTTTTTAAACATATGCGCGTAAAAATTTAACTATAGTCTCGTATCAGTATATATGAGATAGAAATTAAGTTGAATGGGCCTATTGTTTTAGGCTGATTACTGATTATTGGCTTTAAGTGGAAAGTTGTTTATATAGAGATTTTATTTCAGTAATAGCTGCAACGGCATATAAACTTCGGCTTGCCAAAGTTAGCTTTTGTTGTTAATTACCCTGCCAATCCGCTCCAGGAGCACCACATCGTCGTTGCTCAGCTCCCAGCGTTCGCGGCAAACGGGTCGCCGGAGTATGGCTCCGGATTTGACGGTCACCGGCAGCTCGGAGTGATACTGGTGCATTATCAGTTCCTGGATGCTGGCAAACGGAGGTCCCTCGAACCGGAAGTTACCCTCGCCGGTGGTCTGGACAATGAAGTGCTTGTGGCCATTCCAGCATACACTCAGCACAATCTGGCTCTCCTCGTTTCGAATCGTTTCGCGGACCAGGAAGTCACCGTCGTTGTTCAGCAGTCGCACCACCTCTTCCCGCGGCAAGACGCCATGGAACCATTCCTCCTCGTAAAGCGGACGATTCGTGGAGAGCGATATCTGCAAGATCCAGATAATTAGCCAAATCCATCTACCCATTTCTCAGCCAGAAGATTAGTGAAAGCATGCAGAATACAAGTAAACAAGGAAAAACAATTCTAGTGGTTAACACGCCATTTCCACATATTTCCAAATGGCCAGCGGAAATGCGTGGGTGCAATTGGCTCTGACGAAATTGCAGTAGCTCCAAGATATACAAGCAAATTAAAATTATAATTAAATACGGTAAGCACAAAAAAGGCGTATTAAGTCAAGAGAAATACATATATTTTGTTACTAGAGGCAAATGTGGATCTACATTCAAGGTTATCCCTCCGGTGACTCACAAACACTTTGGATTTGGGCCGCTTTTTTCGGGCCGGCGGTATGGGGCGACCGCTAAAAACAATTGCCTCGAAAATTCCCCCACTCTCAGCTCCGGCGTAGTTGCTGCTCTGTCCGGAAGCAGTGCTGCTCATGATGGAAAACTCCGGGCACCAGATGCCCCAAACAAAGGCACTTGAACTTGCGCAATTGTCTCACAGAAACCGAAATAGTCACGCGTTCTGTCCGGCTATGTCCACAAATGTAAATTTGGATGGATCTCCAACTATTCACTGGCCAAACAGACGCCAAACATCTCAATGGACTAGATTAATGGCGACTGCTGCTGTTCGGTATCCAAACAGCTCGCCAGATCGGTGAGAACTAAAAGATATATGGTGGTAGAGGCTTATGCTCTCATCCACTTTCGCTCTTTCTCATTGGCACGCACAAGTAATTTTAGCAATTGGAAGGGTTAAACACTTTCTGAATCAGACGAGATTTTTATACACTTTTGTGTTTTAGAACTAGAGAAGATCATTTAATTTTCTCTAATATTTGTCAAAATAAAAATTAAAAAAAATATTTGTTCAGCTCTAGTAACTAAGTTTTGAAGAGTTTCAGATTTGTAAATTAAAATTAATTTAAGATAGAACATTAAACTAATTGTAATAATTTAATACTAATAATACTACGTCCTATCTGGAAACAAATTCTAAATAAAAACTAAAAAAAAAATAAAAAAAAAATATTGAAACAGACCGACTGTTGTTATATACCCCACCTTTGAGTCTTGCCTAAGGTCACCCTGTGTTTTATTTTTGGCCCGCTCTCTATAAAAAGCTCATTTTTCCCCCCAAAATGTTTTCAATATTGAGACATGCACAATCAATCAAACAAACATGCAAACTGAGGAGGCAAGCAAATGCGATGCGATGCGATGCAATTCAGTTCGACTCAATGGTGAGTTGGTGGCGTCGTGTGGCGCCCAGTTGGCTTAGATACGCTCGATACGGTGGGTGCGATTCTTGCTCAGATACGATACGGATGCGGATACGGGTAACTCACACTGGCCGCCAGGCTGGGCACACAGTAGCAGTGATCCTTCATGCTGAGCACATCGTCACTGTCCTCGTCGTCATCGTCATCGTCGTGGTCCTGGTGCTCCTCCAGCTCCCCGGAACTGGACTCAAAGGCCAGATCCTTGTGGCCGGCTATTTGGACGGATGGTTTTACGGTTTTCGGGACCACCGGAGGGCAATTGCAGAACTGCTCATCTGATCCAGCTGGTTGTGATTGATCCACCTCGAATTCGCGGGCAAAATCAAAGACACTCTTGCTGGGATGGATGCGCCTCCTCTTGGTGCACTGTTTGCAGGGCTTGGACGAACGTTTCAGCTGGAAATTGAGCAGCTTGGAGCGGAATGTATTTCGTATGGCCTTCGACTTCTTCTGGATCTTGGGCACCTTGAATTTCAGTCTTGAGGTTTCCTTGGACGGCGTCGTCGTACTCGTTGTGGTCGTTATGGTCGTGGTGATCGTGCTCGTTATAATCGTCGACTGCGAGGAGGCACTGCGATTGCTATTGCTATTGCTATTACTATTACTATTATTATTGTTATTGTTATTGTTGTTACTGCTGGAACTGCTACTGTTTGTGGGGCAATCACTGTTCGTTTGGGTCTCCTCGTTGAGCGATTGATTCTTGGCCATTCGCACGAGCGGACTTTTGGAGAACTCCTTGAGGTTGCTAAAGATGCTGCTTATGGATTTCTGGGTAAACGAAAGCGATCTCTTCTTGGAACGATGATCCTTGGTGGATCGACACTCCGAACTGGAGCTGGAACTGCGCTTGGTTTGGCTGTCCGCATCTTGTGTCAGCTTTCTGGTTTGTATCTGCACCTCCTCTTCGGCACTTTCGATGGCATTCAGATCATCGCTGGGCTGCAGACTGCGCTTCAGGCGATCATCTAGCACTCGATTCAGTTCATCAATCCTGTCCAGATGAGCATCTATGGAGTTTTGCGCTCCGGCCTGGTTTATTTCAATTTGTATGTGTTCCTCCTTCTCCTTCTCGTTCTCCTTCGCTTCATGGCCCTCTGGACTTGGTGAGGCTTCTGTTTTCCTGTCCAGTTCCAAGTCCGCATAGATATGATTGTTATTGGTGTTAGTAAGGACAGCAGCGGTTAGCTGGGTAAGAGGAGCGGGCGAGGCAAGCACAGGTAGGGCCAAGTCCTCACCCAAACACAACATGGAACACTGGGTGCGTCGCAAACGTGGCAATGCAGGCGGGCTAACAGAACTCAGCGGGATCTGCTCGCCCAAATAATGGACACTGGCCGAACGATGGTTAGTAGTAATGGGCTCATAACGTGCAGCAGGACTTTGCCCATTCCCCAGCCCGTTCCCAATTACCGACAAGGATCCCAGGCTTTGGGATCGTGGCTGCAGCTTGTTGAAGCGTCCTTGACGTGACCTTGTCATAGGTGTCGCCGGCTGTGGGGTACTCTTTCGCTTGAAATGGCGTCCCCTGCCACGCAGAAGGGTCAAAACCCCGCCGCGTCGCATCAGCTCGTTCATAATGCCCAGACCTGGTGAACTCGTGGAGTTGGACCTCTGCTAATGGGTTAGGTTTCGCATGTGTTCATGGGTATGTTGTGATTAGACAGTATATAGAGGGCAGCATCCAGAGAAAAAGTTAGATTAGAGTTTAGTTAGACCATATCCACCACTACCACTTAGGACTAATCTAAACCTATTTAGACTAAGGGCTACTATATATAGAAACCACCCACCTGCTGCTCATTGTTGTAGCCATTCTCAATGAAGTTCTGTTCGAGGGCCAAGTGGTCGTCGCATCCGGAGGGCAGCTCCTCGCATCCCACCTCGTTCAGAGCGCATTTGATCATGTCGACCAGCTTCTGCTTTTGCTTCTCCTGGCAACGCAATGCGTTCAGGTCCTTCGACTGGCGGCTAATAAATGAAAATTTCTTGAATAACTTGGCAGTTTAATTAAGTGTAAAGGGGTATTTATCTAAAATCACTATTAAAGATGCTTAAATGCTTGGAAATTAATTTTTTCTTGAGCTAGTAACCTAAAAATAGCACAAACAACCCCATATGTCCTTGCAGAAAAGTGACCTCAAACCATCACCATTAATTTCTTACAGATTTCAGATTTTTAAGAGGCATTCCTCCAAAATCCATTACTTCTAAGTCCACAACTTTTCTTATTAATATCTGATTTTTAAAAAGCATAGCTCTATAAGTTTGTGTTTTCAAGATCTGAAAATCTGCATTTAAATGTTGGTTTGTAATTTTGGGTCGATTTGATTTGATATTTTAATGATGGTACCCCTTTCCTTTTTTTCCAAAAATTGCTTGCAGTAAAGTGACCTAAAACCAGCACTTCCAAGGCCATAACTTTTCTTACAGATATCCGATTTTGAAAAGGGATTTTCTACAGCTAACAGCTTTTTAAAAGGCATACCTTTAAAAGTTTGTGGTTTCAATTTGTAAGACTCTGTTGGTTTGTAATTTTGGTTTGATTTTCTTTGAGTTTTTGGTAAGTTTTCATCTAAATCACAATCAACGTTTATGTTTAGACCCAGAAGCCACTCACCATAGGCTATCCTTGTTGGACTGAATGCCGTTGGAGGTGTTGCTGCCGTTGGATATGATGCTGCCATTGGCCACCGGGGAGCCACCATTCACGTGCTCGATCATCTTCAGCTGCTTCTCCTGGCACTCCTTGACCGCGCCCTCCAGTTCCTGGAGGCGATTTCTCAGCCAGTCCACCGTGAGGTTGTCCACCGTCAGTGTGCTTGACTGTAGTTTGCCGGGTATGTCCTCGATGAGCGTCTCATCAAATTGAAAAATGTGCGGGGTTGTGGGGGATGTTCTGGCAATATAATTTTATTATTAATTTCAATAAATTCTTATTAAACAGGAAAGAACTCACTTGTATTTCTCGGTGAATTCGCCATACTCCTCGGCCGGATTGATGCCGCCTATCACAGTGTCGATGCGTTTCTGTATCTCCCTGTACTTGTCGGCCGTGAGATCGCCATACTGGGCCGCCTCCTGCAGGATGTTGCGCCACAGCAGGATGAAGCTCTCCTGGACGGACTGCTGGTGCTCCAGCAATCCAGGGAGCAGCACCGTGCGAAAGTCCTTCTCCACCTCGATGGCCTCCGTGATGGACAGCACGTACTCGTTGTGTGTGAGATGCAGCTTGCGGCATGCCTTCTGGTACTTGTCGCGCACGTCGTCCAGCTTGCGGCCACTGCGACTGGGGGCTGAAATCGGAGAAATATATCACAGTAGCTATTAGAAAACCATTTTAAGCAGTTAACATTTTAAGAAGTATGATATCCTTGAGACAGTTATATAAGCCTATTTCATTAATATAAAACGTTAGATTGTCTGTTGTATATTTAGATATTGGCTTTGTTCCAATAGATTTAAAAAAAAAGTAAAAGCTTTTTAGCAAAGTATAAAAACTTACTTAATGCTAATAGTTGAGAAAGTTATTGCTTGAACATATTGAGTAAGTCATTCCCAAATATATTAATATATCATATATTTTAAAAATGATTGTAATTAATAATTTATAATTAAATAATAAATATATGGTTGCTTTATTATTACAATTAAGAAGGAAGCCTTTAAAAAACCTCCGTTAACGCAGTGTATAAATTAAACCATGACTTTATATGTATTGAAAGCTTTGTAATTGTAAACAATCTGTAAATTGATACCCAGGTTTTCAAACTCACCTTTAATGTAATGCTCTTCGAAGCGCGTGCGCAGCGCTTTGTAGCCCTCCAAATGTTTTTGGTATTCGGTTTTCTTGCGCACCACCTCGTCGGTAAGCTGAAATGAGAAGAGGAAGCGGGTTGAGGATGAGGTTTAGTTTGGTTTTGGTTTTGTTTTTTGGTTTGCTTCCAATGTGGTCAGCACACGTGTGCGTCAGCCAATGGAGCAGGCACTTTCCCAAATAAAATGGGACCAATTACATCATGATTATTGCCGGCGTCACTACGTGTTCGTCTTTTTTGTCGCGCACTGTATGCTCCACATGCGAGTAATCGCACAATGAAACCTTCTCCGGTACCCACTCAACACTCAACATCGTCGACACCTATCTGCTCCATTGAGTATCTCTCACACTTTCTTTGCAAAACATTTTCTCACGTTTGTCCATTATGCAAGGTACACGTCCCATGTCCCAAGTCCCAAGTCCAACCGCAAAGCCAACAAAAACTAAAAAACTAAAAACCTGCGACTCCACTCCACAAATGACTGATAAGTGACTGGGCAAAAGGATTGCATTATGCAGCTGAGCCAACAGTATCCCAGCCTCCGTTAGCATGTGTCAACAAAATCAGCAGCGACTTTGTTGCCGAGGATTAGTAGTGCAGCTCAAGTCGGGCCTGAAGCTGAATCTATAGCCAAAAGCCACAAACTAATGGCTGCAAAGTGCAGTTAGTCAAGCAGCTGCAAAGTTGCTGAGTTAAGGTTGCATAGACATAATGCAGCTGATGCAGGGCACAGTGGGTGTGGCAGATAAATAATAAACTTCCTTGGGAAAGGTACTAGTATCTTTGGCCCTCGAAAAAGGTAAAAGGTACTTGCGAGAATAAATAATTAGCTAAGGTTAAAGACATACAATATATGCATTTATTTTCTGCATATAAACGAAAGTAAAAAAAAAAAAACTTAGGTGCGTATCTAGATAATAAAAATAATAAATGTTATAAAGTTCAACTTCTCATTCGTTGAATTTTAAGCATGTTTATACAAATCGTTAATACCAACAATATAACCACCACACAAAATATCGTTTGCTCATCATAAATTTACTAATATTTTTGAAGAGACAATAAAAATGTAGATTAAAAGTCATGAATAATTTCCATTATTTCCCCATGGTTACCAACTAAGCCAGCAACTTGAGTCGCGTTTTTGTTGATGTTGCTATTGTGCAGAGTTGAATGTGCATATTAATTGCAGACAGTTTTGCACTTTTGCACTAAACGCGGAAGACAGCAGAAAAGATGAATTAACTAATTGAATGATCATGGGCATGGCTTCAGAATTTGCCAATGAAAATCGCCAGCGAAAAAGAGAAAAACAATTCGATAGAACGCATACACAAAATTGCTGACCCAGTTAAGCCGATTTGGCATTGAAAGTAGTGTTTGTTGTCGAGAGTGTTTCGAGAGTTATCTTGAAATGGGCTGCAATCTATTGACAACTTGTAGCTATTGTTGGGCTACGTAATAACCAATACTGTAAGGTTCTGGTTATGTGTTTTTTTTGTGTTTTGTTTTTTTCGGCAAGTGGTTAAGCAACTTTCAATGGCTTTGCAGCTGCTAATTTGCCTAAAAAGTTGTTTAGAAAGAGAGAGCGACAGAGGTATACTATAGAGCAGCAGCAGCCACAAGTAAAAGAAATAAACATGGCTCGAAAGTGGGTCATGCGCGCCGTATTTCTTACCGCTCAGCGGCTAAACAGTCAATAGCATTTCGGTAAACCCCTTCGGAACTCAAACCCCCCTCACATTGTTTACAAATGATTGCCAATTTTTATTTATTTTTTTTTGCGTTTCGGCCGCCAGAACAGCGAATCCAACGAAACCAAACGAATCCGAGGAAAGTTGCTAATCTGCCACCTGCATTGCGGGCCAGCGAAACTTTCTCGCTTTTCTCACGCAATTTCCCCCAATGAATTTAATGAGTATTATTTTTCTAAGAGGGGACATCGTCAACGACAACGCACAGTTTAAATATTCCGAATCTATATGTAAATGCGGCGATGACCTAATGGAATCTGTGTGACAAGTTGTGCCAGCTGCCACGTTTTGCATTAATCAGCTTGATTCTTACTGCTTGCCTGCCTTTCGATTCGATTTTCTGCTTCTGTTTCTGATTTCTCTGTATACTTTGGCAAACTTTTATTTCGGACATTAAATTAAGCGGAAAATTCTCAGGTGATATTTGCTTAATTGTGATAAATTTAGCTGCAAGCTGTCTATGAGTCAAAGCTGAAATTAATGCCTTCATCTAAATGAGCTTTTGGTTTTTACGACATTGCAAGAGATTAATTTATGTTTTTATTATTAACACGTATTTGTTTTTCTTTAAGAACTTAACACATTTATCTAACAACTAAGGTTATTTATCTATAAAAATATTCTTTTGTTAAGATATTATACAGAATAGATATTAAATAAAAGATTTAAAATCAATAGTCATGTTTTTATTATTTACACTTCATTGTTCGCCTTTTGTTTTCTAAGAATTATCACATTTTAGTGTCAGTAAAATGTTTATCTAACAGTTTAGATTAGATTTCACTAAAAATATATTCTTTTGTTGAGATATTGTGTAAAATAGATATTAAGGTGTACAATATTACTTCATATTATGCATCTATTTTATTAATGTTTTTACTATCGCCTTTTGTTATTTAAAGCAATTAGCAAATTTTAGTGTGAGAAAAAATGTATCTGTTTAATATGGCTTAAATGAAGGGTATGTTAGTGATATAAACACGTCATAGTTTATTATTATAAAGGCTTAAAAACTTAGCAACGTTTTTTTATTATTAAAGAACACAAATAATATTTTGTTGAGTAATGCATAAAATAGATAATAATGTTTACCATATTATGTCATATTGTACAATACCTTATAAATCGCCCAAAGTTCTAGCTTTTCTTAAGGAAACCAAATATTTTCACAGTGAATGTCAGCATAATAACAATAAAAAAGCACAACTCAATCAAGCGAAATTCAATTCATGTCTACACTTCCAAAGAAATTGCCTCTAATCAAAATAAATTTGTCAAATGTATTGCGGAATCGTGATGCAATAAAAAGAAACCGAGTCGAGTTGAGTTGAGTTGAGTTGAGAAAACCGAGACAGCAAAACAAGTCAAAAGCTAAACCCTAGACGGAGTTGCATTTATATTTTCTTTTTTCTTTTTATCCGATTTTTGTCAGCGCGTGAGAGTTTTTCTTGGCTGTTAGCTGGCAAATTTGAATATGAAACGGCGTGGCGGCAGCTGTGAAAACAGTTGGGGGAAATACTACAAAATAAAACGATAGGAAATGCCGCACACACGCTTGGGGTTTTCCATTGTTGGAAATCAATGCGGCCGATTGTCATGGGGGTTTTTCAATAACTTTAAAAACAGGCGGCAGTGCGCCGCAAGATGTTGCATAAGTGCTGACAGCGTTGACAATAATAATCATGTTTTATGAAACATTCAAAGAGATCGTTTAAAGTATAAACACACTGGCGCTTTTAGCCGGCAATTGCGAATTATGCAAATTTATGACCGTTGGTCAAGCCACGAGTTTCCTCCTCGGACCAGGCAGGGATTTTGAGTGGTTTCCCAGTACCGCCCAGACTTCGTGCTTTTGCTTTTGCCTTTTTCCCTGGTCAATGAACCTTCAACAATGGACACGACACGCTAATATTAACGACCAACCCGTTTTGATGGCTTTTAACTGTAATTGCTCTTGTTGAATCGACTGTTTAAGCCCGAAATCCCGAAATTCAGTCGCATAATTGCCACGCAATAACTTCACTTTCGTTGGCCGATTCGTGAATAATATTTGCCAAGTTTTTATTGCTGTCTGCCTGTGTGCTGTGCTCTTCATGTTTTCTGCACAAATTTGCATGCGTGCCAAGTGAAAGAAGCATGACGAAAAGGTCCGCCGAATTTAAATTGTATCTGTCGGACGATTTTGCCGTTGCCAGCACTTTCTATTTCAGTCGAGTCGAGTGTCGTCGACAGCAACAAACGAGCGGACAAAAGAATAGAATGGCAAAGCGGCGATCGCAGTGAAAGTGTCTTCGAATTGGCCAATTGCCGCGAGCAACGCGAACGCGTTCGTCGCTTCAGTCTTTCGTTTTTGGGGGCATCCAATCCAAGTGCCACCGCCACCGCCATTGGCGAATTGGGAGGTCTCAATCGCCGCAGGAGAGGCTGCAGAACGACTTTTCAATACGCAAAGCCACCTACGTGTCGGTTGCAACTTGTTTACAAGCAGATACACACACACTGGCTTCCATGCGAAATCCTGCGGCTGCGATCGTTCCACGGAACAAGCATAAATTTAAAGGGCCTAGCAGATCACTTAAAAAGTTGTAATAACTCCGGGTATACCCTAGTTATGAAGGAAATTATTAAAATTCAATAATATTAAAACTGTTTTGTAAAACTTTATAATACTAAGTTATAAAAGCGAAGTAATGCTATTTGAGGAAAGACTTTATGACAAATATAAATAAAACTAAACTTTTTCAGTTTAAGAACTAAGAATAATTATATTTTTTTAGATAAGAGTTTTTTTATATAAGAAAATAGTATTTTATCCCTTGACAAGTTTTAAACTTTTATTGAAATGGGCATCTATAAAATGAATATGTTAAATATAGAACAAAATACTTTTATTCCACTTATTTCTGTTTGAAGTAAGAGGAGTTAAGTTATTAAACTAAGTTACTAAGAATAATTATAATTTTGCAGATCTCATTATTTTGTACATTATAGACGAAAAATGTTTATTAGTTTATTCTTATTCTGAACTTTAAATAAAAACAGTTGTTCTCCTTTAAAAAAGGGTATAACATGAGTAAAAAATACATTTTAAATTATAATGATATATTTTTTAACTTACTTATTGTTTGTTTGCGAGTAATCAAATTGTTTTCCTTAATTTTCTAAGAAAACTCCTAGAGTAATTGCGCGATTCTCACAGAACAAAACCTTCTTATTCGAATTCTTTAGCTTTAAAGTTATTAAATTTAAATAAATTTGTATGTTAAACTAATGGCTTGCTAGAGAATCAAGTGGTTTT